ACGGGGTGTCCTCCCGAGGGATGAACCTTCACTGTGTCCCCATATCCTCCCACGGGTGTCCCTGCTGAGGGATGATCCCTCACTATGTCCCCTCACCGTGTCCCCTCACGGGGTGTCCCCGCTGAGGGATGATCCCTCACCATGTCCCCTCACCGTGTCCCCCCACCCTCACCATGACCCCTCGCCATATCCTCTTCCTTGTCCCCCCTCGGGGTCCCCCCTCGATTCTCTCGGAGATGTCCCAGTGTCCCTCCCCGGCGTCCCTTTTGGGGTGTCCCCTCACGCTGTCCCCTCGCTGCCCCCTCAGCTGGCCAAGGACCTGCTGCACCCGTCCCCGGAGGAGGAGAAGCGCAAGCACAAGAAAAAGCGACTGGTGCAGAGCCCCAACTCCTACTTCATGGACGTCAAGTGCCCTGGTAGGGCACCTCGGGGGTCCCGGGGTCCCCCCTGGGGTCCCTTTGTCCCTCCCCATGTGTTCCACGTGTCCCTCCATGTGTCCCACTGATGTCTGTCCCAGTGTCCCTACTGGGATCCCTTCCCATGTCCTCTCCTGTGTCCAAGTGTCCCTCCCGGCATTCTGGGGTCTCTCTCCATGTTCCTCCTCGTTGTGTCCTGGTGTCCCTTTCACGTTCCTTCCCAGTGTCCTTATTCTTCTGACTGTGCCATTCTTCCCCTGTCACCCCAACTATCCCTGTCCTTTCCATATTCCTTATCCCCGCAGTGTCCTTTGTCCCCCCATATCCTTCCTGTCCCCCCAGTGTCCTTGTCCCCTGACCGTCCCTGTCCCCCCCGGCTGTCCCTGTCCGCCCCTGACTGTCCCTGTCACCCCAGTGTCCCCCCCTGACTGTCCCTGTCCCCACAGGCTGCTACAAGATCACGACCGTGTTCAGCCACGCTCAGACCGTGGTGCTGTGCGTGGGCTGCTCCACGGTGTTGTGCCAGCCCACGGGGGGCAAGGCCCGGCTCACCGAGGGTGGGTCACACTGGGGGGAACTGGTAACATCGGGGGACACTG